GCCTGCTTTACAAGAGCTTCTGAAAGAAGCATTACACACAGAAAGAAACAACCAGTATTAGCCTTTCTAAAAATACACCAAAAAGTAAAGAGCACCAACATAAAGAAGAATTTACACCAACAAATGGATAAAACAGCCGGTCAACATCAAATGGCAGTAACCCTAAATATAAATTGACTAAATCCCCCAATCAAAAGATACAGCCAAAACCCAATGGCATGTTACATCCAGACCTGTTTCACATGCAAGGATACACAAAGACTCAAAACAAAGGGATGGAGAAAGATTTACCAACCAAATGGAGAGCAAAAATAAATAATAAATAAATAAAAAGCAGGAGTTGCAATTCTCGTATCGGATAAAATAGATTTTAAAGCAACAAAGATATAGTGGTAAAAGGATCAGTGCAACAACAAGAGCTAACGATCCTAACACTCAGATATATAGAGACTTAGATGCAATGAGACAGAAAATTAATAAGGATATCAAGGACTCGAACTCAGATCCGGAACAAGTAAACTTAATAAATATTTATAGAGCTCTCCACTTCAAATACACAAAATATACATTCTTGTCAATACCACATCACACCTACCCATAAGTTTAAATGAAACATTGATTGGCCATTATTAATACCCAATTTTTTTCAAAATAAAGCAATATTTCCATTTACTCTCCCTCTTTCTCTTCTTCTCCTTTACTTTTTTTTTTTTTTCTTTTTCTTTCCTTCTCTCAAAAAAAAAGAAATCAACTTGTAAACCTCTAGATCCAGGTCGGCAATGTCTCTCTCATTGCTTGATTTCCTTCCTTCCCTTCCCTCCCTCCCTCCCTCCCTCCCCGCTTCCTCCCTTCCTTCCTTCCTTCATCCCTTCCTTCCTCCCTACCGTCCTTCTTCCCTCCCTTCCTGCCTTCCTCCCGCCCCCCCGCCAAAAAAAAAAAAAGAGCATAATAAGATAAATCTCAAAGTCAGAGAAAAACTAGGGATGATACAACGGCCGGAGATCAGGGAAAGGGGAGGAGCTCTTACAACACCAAAATCTGATGCTAAAAAATGCCAAATCTCAGCTATCTAAATTAATCCTCAAGGGTTCTGGCACAACATTATTTACCAATCATGTACTTTTCTCCCATAAAGTCCAATCTCTTTCTCAAATTCTCTCTTACCTAGCATCCTAGTCAGCCACAATGAATTGAGCAAAGTTGGGACAGGAGAAGAAACCCATTTGCCACCTCTAGCCTAACAACACAGGGAACTCCTGGAGCACAAATTATAAAAGGATGTGTACAAGAAGTGGAAGGTGGGGCAAAAATCCACTGTGGAATGGGCCCATGTGAACAATGGCAGAAAGAATAAAGCCTAGAAGAGGCTGAGGTTTATTTATTTAAGGTAAAACAAAACAACAACAAAATTTCCATTTTTAAAAGAATGAAAATAAAGGAGGGCTTTAAAAAAGAGAGAGAGAGAGATGTAGTTGTCTCTGCTTAGGGAAGATGACCCAACATAAATAGAGAAGGCAGAATTCTTCAGCTTCTGGGTTTAGTTCCACATCTTCATTAGAAGGAATGATCTTCACCAGGAAAAAGGGAACAAACCTGCTTAAGAGAGCCTGAGAGTCCATGATAGGGAGGAAGAAAGGGAAGCCCTCCACTATTGTAGCTGAGCTCCAGACCCGGCTATCAGTGATGCCCCAGGGACATAAGGGAAGTTGGGATCGAGAAACCTTTGGGTGATCTCTGAGGAATCAAAGGCAAGGGGGAAAAGGCCAGAATGTTAGAAACTGGCAAACAGCATCCTGACTTCCAAAGAAGAGGAAAAACAAATTCCACAGCCTATTATCGACCTCTGCAAGAGGCTAAGCAGCAGTGTTAATCCAGCAGATTTCAGAGCACACAGGAAAGGAGACAGCAAGAAAGGGCAAACAACTCAGTAGAAAAATGGACAGCAGATGGGTACAGGCAATTCACTTAATAGAAAATACACACGGCCATTGACCTGGGCATGGTGGCTGGTGAATGACATCTCAGCTACTCAGAAGGCTGAGCCAGGAGGATTGCTTGAGGAAAGGAATTCAAGACCAGACTGGATAACATAGTGAGCCTCTGTCTCTACAAAAATTTTAAAAAATAGCCAGGCATGATGTGGTGGCCCACAACAGAGGTCCCAGCTACCAGGGAGGCTGAAGTAGGAGGACTGCTTGATCCCAGGAGTTCGAGGCTACAGTAAGCTATGATCACCCCACTGCACTCCAGCCAGGGTGATAGAGCCAGACTCCGTGTCTTAAAAAAAGTGAACAATAAATATAAAAGATCCCCACCATTATGGAAATATACATTAAATTAAGATAATTGATACTATCTATGTAGCAGGCCATATAAAATTAAAAGACATAATATCAACTATTGGCAAAGATATGGGGAAATGACACATTCACTAGTGGAATACATAGCTTTCTTTAAAGGGCAATTTGGTGGTATTAATTAAAATTTTAAAAATATTGTACTTTTACCCAGCAATCTGAAAGACTGACACATGCAGAGGCTTGTAGAAGGTCAATACAAAAGTTTTAAATGCAGGTTTTAAAAATACACTACAGTACATCTACATTATGAAATACCATATGAGTAAAAGTTAAAGGTGATTCATACATATTGATACTGAATGATCTCTAAGATGTCATTATTCATGCTTTCAGAAAGCACAAATAAACACACATTTCTGTAAGTGCATATGCATATATAAATGACTACAAAATAGTTCAAAAGCCAATTACCCTGATAATAGAGATTACCTTGGGAAGGTGATTTGGGATACCTTTGTCTTTAGTTTTTGTATTTTTATACTTAGAATGTTTTTATTTATTATATGGTTAAATATACATTTAATATATATTTAATAATTTGTATATATTTAACTATATATGTGCATATGTATATATCCACACATATACACATTCGGCCCTTTGTATCCAGGGTTTCATATCCATGAATTCAACCAAACACAAATTTAAAATATCTAAAGGGGAAAAAAGGATGGTTGTGTCTATACTGAACACATACAGACTTCTTGTCATTATTTCCTAAACAATACAGTATAACAGCTATTTACATAGCATTTACATTGTATTAGGTATTATATGTAACCTTGTAATATAGAAATGATTTAAAGTATGTGCGTAGGTTATATGCAAATATACCATTTTATATAAGGGACTCTGAGTATTTTGGTATCTGTGGGGCTTTTTGGAAGCAGTCCTCCATGGATACCAAGGAATGACTATATACATATAGTGTAAACATATATATATTAAAAGAATGAAAAATAAAGACCAGGAAACAGTGACTGTTGGGGACTAGCATGTGCACTAGGAGTAAGAGGTGTCAAATCTCCCCAGTTTCCTTCTCCTGGGGTGACAAGGGAAATGCCAACCGCACTGTGAACTGATACCCGCAGGCTACTGGCAGAGCCTTTCATATCATTATTACGGAAACAATAAAAAATGCAGACTGATGACAATGCTGGAAGCAGAGCCAAAACTGACTTAGTTACTGATTCAGCGTCCATGGGGAAACTCCTAGGGCAGTCTTTGGTCCTGTTCTGTTCAACATATTCATTCGTTCATTCTTCTAATATCTCACTTACTCACTCACCAGACATTTAAGAGCTTACTTTCAAATGTTGTGCATTAAGATATAAAGATGGGCTGGGCATGGTGGCTCACACCTGTAATCCCAGCACTTTGGGAGGCTGAGGCAGGTAGATCACCTGAGGTCAGGAATTTGAGACCAGCTTGACCAACATGGTGAAACCCCATTTCTACTATATACAAAAAAATTAGCCCAACGTGGTGGTGGGTGCCTGTAATCCCAGCTACTCAGAAGGCTGCAGCAGGAGAATCGCTAGAACCCAGGAGGCAGAAATTGCAGTGAGCCGAGATTGCGCTATTGCACTCCAGCCTGGGCAACAAGAGCAAGACTCTGTCTCAAAAAAAAAAAAGATATAAAGATAATTTCTGCTTTGAGCCTAGGATACTGAAAAATAGACCGATGGAGGAATCCAAACCAGTTTGAAAAATGCTTAGTCTGAAGTGTTATGGGAGCTCCAGAGGGTAGGGACTGACCATACCCTGGCCTCTTGATGGAGATCATTATTTATACCTCTATTTATATTTCATGAGGTCTGTACACTTCATGTAAGAGATCATAAAGCTAAAAAATACCAAGAATTCCAAAACCCACATATATATGAGGTAGAAAAGATTCAAAAGCTAAACATCCCGGTACAATTCATTTCCAGTCACTAGAAAGTTCTACCCTTAGGTTACAGGAGAATACGCTTGAGTTTTGAGGCCTCACTGAAAGAACACTGTCAAAGAGCAAGGTGTCAGGACAGGAAGCAATGGGCCCAATGTGAGATGAAGACCAGATAAAGGTATACCCAGACTTTTTCAGGGTCACTCTGATCTCCCTCTCTGAGCCCTCAACTCCACTCATAATGCTCCCGTTTTCTCTCAGGGAATCACCTACAGCCAATAGGGCCAGGAATTTCAAGATCTCTGATTATATGGTTGGTTGTTCTATCTGAGGGAGGGAGCAAGTAGAAGATCGCTCCCAGGTCAGCTCCCAGCCACATGGTATTTAGTCTGTAGCAGATTTTTGGTTTGCAAGACCTTTCTTGCCTGTCCTCTCCCCACACCCCAGTTCGGTGCCCCAAGTTTGTCCCTTCCATGTTGTCCCACACTTAAGAAAAACCACTTAAGTTGTCCCACACTTAAGAAAAACCATGAAGCACACATATGCCAGTTTCCATGGCTGTGGATCCCAGGCAGTCATTTCACCCTTTCAGGCCTTAGTGTTTTTGTTTATGAAGAAAGTTAACAAAGAGAGGGCAGTGCTTAATACAAATGAGTGAATGGTGGAATTTCAGGCACCCAGGAGGACCTATCTGGGTCCTAGTCCTAGTGAAGGAGGTGCTCTGGCAGGGACCCTCCATCAGGACTAACCTCTTCAGTGACGATCGAGACAGCACCTGTGCAGCCTGGTTCATGGCCCTGACCCAAGCATTCATGTCCTCCTGGGTGTCGGCACTGAAGTAGTAGGTCCTCATGCCCGACTGCTCGGCCTGAGAGCCTGCCATGGAGCTGTTATAGATGAGTGCTCGCATCCCCGTGTGCACAGCCTGCAGCATGAAGACAGAAACGCAGGTCAGAAGGAGGTTATCACACATTTCCTTTCTAGGAGCAAGAGCAAGGAGGCACTCTGGCCCTTCCAGACTAAAAGCCCAAGCACCACCCAGCTTGTTTCCACACCTAGAAAACATCAAGGCTAGATTCCTCTTTCTTAGTGCAGTCAGGCCCACTGACAGCTGTGTCTGTTTCCCCATAGTAAAAGCCCTGCAGATGTACCTGTTCCTATTTATCTTTCTCCTGCGATGGGGGTTGGGAATGTGCACAAAGTCAAGGCTTATGTGAGAAACAGGCTTTTCAGAAAACCCTCATTTCCTAGAGACAGACTCTTGGGAATCCCTGTTCCGGTTTTTCTGAAGCCTGTGATTTCTGCTTTGGCTACAATGAGACAAGAATTGACTTAAAACTGGCTGCATCAACAGGTGGCTTGATGTGAATGTTCACTGTGCTTCACTGCTTAGGTATGATGTGTGATGTATGTTCCTCAAAGAAGCTTCCATTTTGTCTCTCCAAAAGAGGCACTACCAGATATGAGGGCAATCTGGCTGCAAGAGCTGTCACTCCATTGATCGCCAGGGTTGATTTGGCTGATCTGGCTGGCTAGGCAGCTGCACACTCAGTTGAAGAGGAAGACCATCCCCGATAAAGGAGGACTGGCCTTTAGTCAAGGGTATACAAGTAGCTGCGCTCCCCTGCTAGAACAAGCTCTCAAAAGAGCACTACAGAGGTGGGCAGAGCTGACCAACAGTTAACTAAATATTCTTGCAAACCTACTGTGTCCTTTTGCCTCAAGGTGCTTTCACATGTATCCTTGCAAAAAAATCTGGAAAAAAGGTACTCAGAATGACCACTGAAAAATGACTGGGATGACACCAGTTTTTCCCCTTGTGCTCTGATAAAGCAGAGACTCATCTTTTAAATTTGCAAGGAACAATCTCATCAAATCTATATAGGAAGATGGTGTGAAAAGAGAAAGATTTACTGAGTACCTACTGTATTTCTCCTAGGTACTTCCACAACTTTAATCTCATTGTAATCTTAATAGCCTTGAGAAGTGGAGACAGAATCTCTGTTTTACAGATGTAGCAAATGAAACTCTGAGATGTTAAGTAACTTTCCCAGATTTCCACACCTGGCAACAGATTCGTCACAGCACTTACCATTACCTGATGCTATTTATTACCTGCTTATCATCTGTCTCCTTTCTCTACAAATATAAGTGCCATGAAAGTAGAAATTTTGCTATTTTGTTCACTAATATATCCTCAGGAACAGTGCCTGGCACATAGTAGGTGCTCGATAAACATTTGCTGAAAGAATGAAGAGTTGGAGCCCACCTCTGACTCCAAGTCCAGGCTTCTCTGTATATTGCTCCCAGGTTCTGTCCAAAAGTGAGGGTAATTATCCAAATAACTAGTTCCATACTCTGAATCCAGCATGAAAGGCAGACCCCATGCAAGACCAGGCAGAGAAAACAAAACGAGAACCAATGATAAGCTGGACAATGACATGCTTCTGGAATCACTAATAGTCAGATGAAAACATGTCAGATGAACTTTCAGCATTTACTTCTCCTCCCTACCCTCTTAATATCCAGATCCAAAATGCATAGTAAATATAGGTCTGCTTCTGGCATTTACATATCTGAGTCCATCCAGCTCAGTGCCAAGGGAATCTAGGCAAACTTGGCCTACAGCCAAGGATCCCTATAATGGCTGAAGCAAATCTGATATCCTTTCTTAACAAGTATAAGGTGTCATTCACTATTACAGGAAGGATTCTATTTTAAGCAAGGTGGAAATGTGCCAGTAAGAACAGAATAAGGCCGGACGCAGTGACTCATACCTGTAATCCCAGCACTTTGGGAAGCTGAGGCAGGTAGATCACCTGAAGTCAGGAGTTCAAGAACAGCCTGGGCAACATGGTGAAATCCCGTCTCTACTAAAAATATAAAAATAAGCTAGGTGTGGTGGCATGCGCCTGTAATCCCAGCTACTCAGGAGGCTGAGGCATGAGAATCATTTGGACCCAGGAGGTGGGGGTTGCAGTGAGTCAAGATTGCGCCACTGCACTCCAGCCTGGGTGACAGAGTGAGACTTCATCTCAAAAAAAAAAAAAAAAAAAAAAAAAAGAACAGAATAAGAAGGAACCTGTGCATGTCTCACTGAAAATCAGCAGAAATTCTTGAAAACATCCTCTGGACAATGACCCCATGAGATCTCTGACACACTCACCCAGCCATTTTTGCCCAGTCATAGAGGGTACTGGGATAGGTGCCTATCCCACTAGACACAAGCATAGGGAGCCCTCCAAGGTACAATAAAGACAGTAGATTCCTGCTGTACAAAAATTTATGGAGTCAGCCTTGTCCAGGACATTAACATGGGACATGCCTCAAACATGCAAACATGGGTTTGCATGTCTGTTTGCAAATGAGCCTTGAGAGTTACATCCACCATTATGAAGGAGTTACACATGATTGCAAATAAAACACTGGTCACCAATCAAACAAGCAGGTGCTGCGCCCAGCTGCTCTTGACTCTGAAGAACAGATTCCAACTGCATTCTGCCTGTGCGAGGGCATATTAGATGGATTAACTGTGAGGGCAGGAAGTATAGGGAGTTTCCTTTTCATCTGGCCAAGTGACCCAAGTCCAAAGTGTCCTGAGCCTAGGAAGATGCCATAACCCAGATGATGTGAATCTTCTCACATAGTTGAATTTCTCCCTCTTCTCAATTCAGAGATGCTGTTTTCTCTGCTCTTTGCTTTCCCATTAACATAATCCTACGAAGCAACTTTGTATAACTGAATAGAAAACCGGCTATGCCTAAAGGAAATCAGGATGTGAGCGAAAAAGAGTTTACCTCAAAGACATGAGGCCCCTAGGATATGGCTGCTCTCCTGGCTCTTGGACCTTAGTTCTAGACACAACACTGGTAAAGGAGCCAGAATCCTCATGGCTCAAGCCCCCAACAGCAGCCTTTAGAATAGAAAAACCTCAGTGGAAAATACAGGAGCACCCAAAAGGCCAGGGCCCATCAACTAGCTGGCTCATTCTGGAACTTGTTCAACAATAATGAATCATTTATTGAGTATTTACTATGGGAAACGCACCCTACCAAAGCTGGAGGGACAGCCTTAAACAAAGCCATTACAGTTTATAGCCACATAGAAGAGAAAGACCATGGACAAGTAACTCCAGATGTAGTAAATGTCATCAAGAAGGTCAGGATGCTGTGAGGAGGATAACGAGGGAGCTCAGCCTGACCCCTGGGGAACTGACATTGCAGCTAATTTCTACACTATAGGTAGTCATTTAAGTGATAGCAGGGTGGAGCTGGGCAGCACCCCATGAAGGACACGAGCACAGTGTATTCATCTTCAAGGATGAGGCCAGCATAGCTGGCGCAGAGGAATGGAGGGGAAAACAGCATGAAGGGAGGCTGCCTAAGTTAGCAGGGCCAGACCACCAGAGCCTTACAGATCATGTAGGATTTTGTCTTCATGAAAGAGCAAAAAGAAACTATTAGAGGTTTTTTGGTTTTTCTGAGACAAGGTCTTGCTCTGTTGCCCAGGCTGGAGTACAGTGGCACCATCTTGGCTCACTGCAATCTTTGCCTCCTGAGTTCAAGCAATCCCCGCAACCCCAGCCTCCTGAGTAGCTTGTACTACAAGAGCACACCATCAAACATGACTAATTTTGTATTTTTGTAGAGATGTGGTTTTGCCATGTTGCCCAAGCTGGTCTCGAACTCCTGGGCTCAAGTGACCCACCCACCTTGGCTTGCCAAAGTGCTGAGATTACAGGCATGAGCCACTGCACCCAGCCTTATTTAAAGGGCTTAGGCTGGGGAATGATGTGATCAGCTTTGTTTGGAAAGACCACTCTGGCTGCAGTATGCAGAGAGGTTCAAGCAAGCAGGAACATTTGAGGAGAGATAGGTCAGGAGGCTACTACAGGAGCACAGGTGAGAGATGGTGATGGAGGCAGAGAAGGGGAGGAGCAGACAGGGTCTGGAGAGAACTTGCAGGTAATATATGCAGGCCTTGGTAATGGACTGGATATGAGAAGAGGGAACAGCAGGTATAAACGATAAGAGTCTCGAGTTTACAACTTGCAGAGTTAGTGGTGCCCGTTTATTGAAATTAAGAAAAGGGACCCGGCATGGTAGCTCACACCTGTAATCCCAGCACTTTGGGAGGCCAAGACAGATGGATCACCTGAGGTCAGGAGTTTGAGACCAGCCTGGCCAATTGGCAAAACCTCATCTCTATGAAAAATACAAAAATTAGCTGGGTGTGGTGGTGGGCACCAGTATTCCCAGCTACTCGGGTGGCTGAGGCAGGAGAATTGCTTGAACCCAGCAGGCAGAGGTTGCAGTGAGTAGAGATTGCGCCACTGCACTTCCAGCCTACGTAACAGAGTTAGACTCTGTCTCAAAAAAAAGAAAGAAAAAAGAAAAGGAACTTCTCATGTCCAATCTTTAGGCTGACTACAAGCAGCACAGTGAAAAGGGTAAGAACTTGGGCTCTTGGAATCAGCCTGAGGTCCAAGGTAGACTCTGCCTCTTATCCACTGGGTAACTCTGGGTAAATTACTCAACCTCCTCATCCCTTTGTTCATCTTTAAAATAGGACCATAGTTAAAAGTAGCATTTACCCTATAAGGCCATGTGAGGATGAAATGAGACAATACATATACAGTGCTTAGAGCACAGCCTGGCATTTGTGAGGCTCAAAAGGTGTCAGTGGATGTTACTGAATGAGCAGTCACTTGAGCAACTTAGGGAGGTTGGCTGAAAGAGCATTCTAGAACGTTTAAGACTCTTCTTCCTCCCTCCCCATCACAAATTTAGAGGGGACTAAATACAAAATACAAGTAAGCCTGAACCCACCATATCTTGGGAAGTATAAGCACTGTCATTGACCACAATTCCCATTACACATGACTGCTCCCTGTAGTCCCTGCCTACAGGATGGGACTAGCAGAACTAGCTGATGAACTAGTTTTCCCGGTGAAAGGTCTAGGTGGGTGAATCAACCATTTACAGTGCAGTGATACAGAGCTGTGGAAGTAGAGAAGAAGGGTACTTCACCTGTCGACAGGGCTCAGAGAAGGCTTCCCAGAGAAGGTGACCCTGAGCAGAGAACTGAAGGACAAATAAGAGTTGGGGAAAGGGCATCCTAGGCTGTGACTGAAGTTTAAGTAAAGGGCTACAGCCAAGAAATATCCTGGGGCCTTAAGCAACTGTATATGGCTAAAGGAAAGACAAGACAGGAGTGGCTAAAAATGTGGCTGTAGAGATAAGTTGGGGTCTTATGAATCAAGATTGGCTTTATTGGCCAAGCATGGTGGCTCACGCCTGTAATCTCAGCACTTTGAGAGGTTAGAGACCTGGCCAACATGGTGAAACCCCATCTCTACTAAAAATAAAAATAAAAAATTAGTTGGGCATGGTGGTGGGCACCTGTAATCCCAGCTACTTGGTAGGCTGAGGCAGGAGAATTGCTTAAACCTGGGAGGCAGAGGTTGCAGTGATGAGCCAGTATCACGCCACTTCCTCCAGCCTGGGTGACAGAGAGAAACTCTGTCTCAAAAAAAAAGGAAAGAAAGAAAGAAAAGAAAAAGAAAAAAATAATTGGCTTTATCCTGAAAGCGGTGGGGAACCACTGAAGGGCTTATGGTAGGAATACAATCTGAACAAGGGTGCAACTTAGAAACAGTGTGGAGGAGGAACTGGAGGCTGCAGAGTAGTTCCAAGGCTGAATCAGTGACAGCCAACACTTACAGAGCACTTAATACATACTAGTTCCTGCTCTATAGTGTGCTCCCCGGGGGAGGGATGGTGGTGGCCAAGACAGAATAGTGGCAGCAGGGGTGGAGAGGAAGACATGAACTTGACAGATATGCAAAGAACAAAATCGAAAGGACAGAGAAAAAAGGCAGCTCTTTATTGCTGTCTTCTTATCCTCTAATAATATACATGCTGATGCAAACCTGAGAATATAAACCCTACAAAGGCCAGGATTTTCTCCTGTTCATTGCTGTATCCCTATTATACTATCCAATAGACTATGAGAGCATGCAACAGAATTTTATCAAATAGAATTACGTAAGTGAAAAACCATGCCTCTTGGCATGTCTTCAGAATCTAGAACAGGAACCTTAACATTTTCTGTGGCATGGACACTTTTAACAGTTTGATAAATCCTATGAACCTTTTTCAGAATGTTAAGCACACAAAATAAGGTAAATTTATTATACTGAAATATAGTTCTTAAAATATTTTTTAAATGTGTGGTATAGTGATGCAGGTGTTTGTTTACTAACGTACTGCATAAAGGATCTGGTGGCAGATGTTATAATTATTGTGATTTTAAAATGTTGATGAGCATTAATGATATTTCAAGATATCTGCAACAACCATAATGTGTTATGAAGGGATCTATGGTTTCTACTGGTAACCAAGTCACAGGTACTGCTGATACACATTGTGACCTGCTTTCTTAATTGAAAGAAATGTTATATTTTAGTTAAAGGTTAAAAAGTAGGCCAGGCACAGTACATACTCTGAACTATCTCAGACAAGATGCCCTAGCAACAGTATGAGAACTTCAGCTCTAGATACAGAGAAAGACCAACATCAAAGGCAGGTATCAGGGCCAGGCACAAAACACTGTGTATTCCTTGATATGCCCAAGAATATGGACCCTGAGCTGCACCCCCAGGGCATACCCTCTGGCCCCTAAAAGAAGTTTGCTGCAACCCAAATGAAAAGATAACTCTTTCAGACTCAGGAAACCATTGCTCTTTCTGGAGAACCATCAGACCTGTCTGAAAAACCACCAGATCTGTCTGTAGTAGCTTTTCGCGGCTCTCAGATCCTGAGGATCTCAAAGACCTCCCCCAAACACATGAAGCCTTCTGCCTCCCAGATAAAAAATTTAGGGAACACTCTTGATGAAGTCTTTCTAAGACAAATGTTAAGAAAAGAAAAGAAATCCAAGACAGATTAAAGATGTTTGCCTAGGCTAGAATCTATTTTCACACCTCCAATGAAGTGTTAAGATAAAATATATATAGTTATGATATGTTACTTTGAGGATCTGCCAAATGTTGTTCCCCAAACATCACATACAACATCACTATCCCAATTGTTTGCCCAACTGGGCAGTGCTCAACTCTAGAAAGGAGAGTTTTCTAAGGAAGATTTTTCAGGCTGTAAAGAGGAGTCTGAAAGCCACTGAACAAAATGTTTTCCGAGCCAGGAACAAGTTCTAAAATGATACAATAAATGTGAATTCAAACCACCTTCTACCTCCTGGGTTGTCTGTGCAGCCAATGACCAAGATAAAACATGGAAGAAAAAGCAAGGAAGAAGAGAAAATAATACAAGATGAGAGCCCTGTAATAAACCTGAAAGAGAACAGAATTCAGGACCAAGTTCTGCCTCTGTCATCTTCCAGCTTTGTGACTTTGAGCAAGTTCCTTAAGCTTTCATATCCTTCCCTCACTATGAGCATTAAATGAGGTCACATGAATAAAAGTACTTCCCAAATCTTAAAATGTCAAAGATGTAAGGCAACAGTATTCCATGCAACATGACACAGAGCACTATCCCAGAATCACCAACGCATAGCAATTCTGGAGTGACACTCAGTAGCATCACTCAAGGGAAAGAGAGGGACAACTCAAACCTGTTGATAAGCAAAGCCAAAGCATCAGCTCAGTTCTGTGCCTCCTTAGGAAGGAAAGATAAAAGGAAGAAGAAACCAACTTTCCAACCACTGGCACCACCATGGACGCCACATCAAGGTGCTGATGCAGACTCCCACTTTGCAAGCTCCTCACAGATGAAGGACAGGCTGCTAACACCATGGACACCATGGACCAACACTTTCCTTTAATCCTTCCAGAGAACTTCCAAGATGAGTACAAGGTGTCTTACCCACCTTGTACTTTCTCATGGTCCTTTATCTGTGGCTGGAAAGCATGATTTCTGTTCAATCTCTGCTTTACTACCTACTGTCTAGTATTCATCTTGTACCCAACATGGAAATGGCCAAGCAACAAATGTAGCAGGGCAGGAGCCCCTACTGCAGCTTAAAGTGTATGACATTGCCTCATATCTTTTTTTTTTTTTTTTTTTTTTGAGACGGAGTTTTGCTCTTGTTACCCAGGCTGGAGTGCAATGGCGCGATCCCGGCTCACCGCTACCTCCGCCTCCTGGGTTCAGGCAATTCTCCTGCCTCAGCCTCCCGAGTAGCTGGGATTACAGGCACGCGCCACTATGCCCAGCTAAATTTTTTGTATTTTTAGTAGAGACGGGGTTTCACCATGTTGACCAGGATGGTCTCGATCTCTTGACCTCGTGATTCACCCGCCTCGGCCTCCCAAAGTGCTGGGATTACAGGCGTGAGCCACCGCGCCCGGTCCATTGCCTCATATCTTGAGCAAGAGAGGGCTGTGTCCTGTGGCGACTGGCACCAAGGGCTGCTTGCTTCAGTACTCTCTAGGACTTGCACCTCAACTGCTATTAAAGTGGATCTTCAATCCACCCCACCCTTCCCTTCCCTGGGGGACCCAAGATCTTAACACCTGCAGTAAAGGAATCTGTGGAGGCCACCAACGGAGAAGACCTCAGGATTCCCCATGTTTGAACCTAAACATATCTTCCAGGAGCCTCCACACCTGACCTCACAGATTCTACAGGGCAAAACTGCCATTAATTATCGTGGCCTCATGCAGCCCAAATGGTACAGTCACAAAACAAGTAGCAAAGGGGTTTTACTGGTAAAGGGATCTGCCTGGAAATCTTCAATGATCCAGAAGATAAACCAAATTTTATTCTAATTGCTTTTCAGCAAGATAAACAAAGTGGACAAACCTGAGAACCTCTTCAACATGCAGGCCCCTAACCCTCAATTCGAGTTTTCATAATACAATGGACATAAACCCATTACGAGGGGTCACCAGTTACACAAAATGGCTGGATGGTATTTAGGCTGCTGAGTATGGTGGTAAGATAATTCAAGAAGGGCTTCCATAGGTAACCACAAGACTGGCAGTGACAGGAAGGAGGGGTCTGAGTACTTGAATATGGCTGGGTGACTCCAAAGCTTAGATTCAAATGACAGTACTAGTCATGTGATATTATTCTTGTTTAAATAACGTATGACTTGGTTAACCTGAATTTGAGACTCTCTAGCTTAAGTTCTTCCCCCTCCCAACAAAAGCAATTGCTTTTACAAAGGCATTTTGAGAACACAGTTTCTTTAGACAGAACAGCTGCATTACAGGTGTAGAGGCAGTACCTTAAAGGAGTATTTGCGGCTTATGCGATCCTCAGGGGCCACAGGCGAGATCACGTAGCTGGGCAAGGGGATGCTCCCAAGGACTGCTTCTTCTCGGCTGTCTTTGAATGGAAAAACACATCAGAACAACCTTCTGGGCACCTTTCCTGGGCTCATCCACCCCACTGCTTCCAGAACTTCACCCATGTTGTTTCCTCCCCTTGTAATGTCCATCCTCCCCTGACCCACACACAGGCAAAGCTCTACCCATTCTTAAAAGCCTATCTCTTCTAAGAAGCCTCCTCAGATTCTTCAACGGTGGAATTCACTTCTCGGTCTCCCTGAACTGCTTTGAAAGCACCAATCGCAGTCTAGCCTTATCTTGAAAGTAAGCTCTTTCTCCACATTTTGAGACTTCCTTCTCAATACCATACCCAAAACTTTATGTTCTGGGGCTCCATAGAAACTCAGATGGCCAATTCAATTCACCAGTTGCCCATCCAACATCCAATAAATCCAGATGACAGGTTACCAAATACAATCAATGATTACACTTCTCATCTCTCTAGAGCACATGACTCTGAATCTTGAGATCCTAAGTAGCAGGCAAACTGGATTCTATTTATTTTACCCTAACAGATTAAACTTCCTGTGTTAGGACTGGTAAAGCTGAAGTCACCAACCATCCACAAACTGAACACTTTGGCAGGTTAATAGATTACTTGTTAGCTCACCTTTATAGTAAAATAAGCAGTAATCAGCAAGCACAAACCACCTCCTTTTCCATAGCCTCATCCCAGAACTGTCCTGTAAAGCAAAGAAAACTAGTCAGAGTACTATGTGAGCACACTGTTGTCCCCTTCCAAGATGCATGGTCTAATTCCAGAACCAAATATTTGTCCATATTCCCTTTATTTTAATAAATTACTGTTTTATTGAAGAGCTATTCTTTAAATAGAACATTAGAACTTAGATTAAATGATGGTTTATCCTAAGGAAGCAGAGTTTTTGTCTCCTAGAAACAAACTAATGTATAATATTATAAGCCACTTTTCTAGAAAGTAAATTAAGAAAGGAATCAGCTCTTAACAAGAAGTTTCTTTGTTGTTGTTTCTTATTTAGGTGGCTATGCTATAAAATATCTTCATTTATGCTGACTGGAAAACTGAATTTACACAGTATTGAAAAGAGTTTAAGTTACCTAAGGAATGAAGTGAGGCAAAGTTCTCATTAGATTATGCTCAGTTCTGTGCCCTACAGGATGGATTCTGCTGTTACGTTTTCCTTCCATTCAATAGAAAAGGATTTGGATTCTCTTTGCTATCAAATTGTCTCATAACAAAAATCTGTCTTTACTCATCTGAAATGTAAATGTTTGTATTTATCAATAATATTTTAAATAATTGTGAATATTTTTTAAAAACATGGCCAAGGCAGGAAAACAGAATGTTTTAGGGTCAGTTTTCTCTCAAACCTAGGAAAACCCCGGAGCATCTTTTAGTTTTAGAGATGGCTATTCATATCTGTAACCCCAGTGTTTTGAGAGGCTGACACAGGAAGATTGCCCGAGGCCAGGAATTCTAGACCAGCCTGGACAACATAGCAATACTCCATCTTTACCAAAAAAAAAAAAAGAAAAGTTTGTTTGTTTGTTTTTGAGATGGAGTCTTGCTCTTGTTGCCCAGGCTGGAATGCAATGGCACAGTCTCAACTCATTGCAACCTCTGCCTCCTGGGTTCAAGCAATTCTCCTGCCTCAGCCTCCCAAGTAGCTGGTATTACAAGCACTTGCCACCAACCCCAGCTAATTTTTGTATTTTTAGTGGAGATGAGTTTTCACCATGTTGGCCAGACTGATCTCAAACTCCTGACGTAATCCACCCACCTTGGCCTCCCAAAGTGCTGGGATTACACGTGTGAGGCACCACACCTGGCCACAGATTTTTTTTTTTTTTACTTTTAGTACAGTGCTCATTAGTCAACACTTTATTATAAAACAGGCTTTATGTTAGATGATAATACCAGCATCTTGTTCAAGAAATTAAAGCCAGCTTCTTCAACAGAGAACATTATTAGAATGAAACTAGATGCAGGAACAGGAAAGTAAAAACCTGTGCCATATTCAACAAGACTCAACTACAGGGCAAAGAATCACATAGTGTCGCAAAATCTTGAATTGGCTAGAGGATAGGATGACAAAAACCACACAGCTATTGCTGGAAAATTATGTCATGCAGAGAAGAGACTGACATGATTTTGTATGTGGGTTTGTCCCAAACAAATCAGATCTTGAAGTAAGTGAAACAAGTCTATCTAACCAGCTACTCACATAACCTAGTTTCTATGGGAAACAAATCAATTAAGCTAAACTCCCACGTTTTAAAGGTATATTCATCTATAGAAGCCCAGAAGGACAGCAGGATTACAAATAATTTTACATTTTAGAGGCTTTCATAATTTGAAAAGTTAACCTTACAAATTTGTGTTACTAAAACGCAAAAGCAGTCCTGGGATGGTGGCCCATGCCTGTAATCCCAGCACTTTGGGAGGCTGAGGTGGCCAGATCACAAGGTCAAGAGATTGAGACCATCTTGGCCAACATGGTGAAACCCTATCTCTACTAAAATACAAAAAGTTAGCCGGGCATGGTGGTGAGCACCTGTAGTCTCAGCTACGTGGGAGGCTGAGGCAGGGGAATCGCTTGAACACCAGGAAGGCTGAGCCTGCAGTGAGCCGAGACTGTACCACTGCACTTGTCTGGTGACAGAGCAAGACTCCATTTCAAAAAAAAAAAAGGCAAAAGCAGGTTGGCATGGTGCCTCATGGCTGTAATCTCTGTAATCTGAGCATTTTGGAGAGGCTGAGGTGGGAGGATCACTTGAGCCTAGGAGTTTGAGACCAGCGTGGGGAATATAGGGAAAACCTCTCTCTGCAAAAGATATAAAAGTTGGCCAGGTGTGATGGCATGCCCTGGTAGTTATAGCTACTTGGGAGGCTGAGATGGGAATATCGCCTTGAGCCTACGAAATTGAGACTGGAGCTGATGGCACTACTGCCCTCCAGCCTGGGCAATAAAGTAGGACCATCTCCCCCACTGCCCAGACTCCTCTAACTTACAGGAGACCTACACATCTGTTTTCTTTTTTTTTTTCCAGTTTTGCTCTGCTGCCCAGGCTGGAATGCAGTGGTGCGATCTCCAGCTCACTGCAACCTCCACCTCCTGGGTTCAAGTGATTCTCCTGCTTCAGCCTCCCAAGTAGCTGGGATTACAGGTGCCTGTCCCCTTGCCCAGCTAGTTTTTGTATTTTTAGTAGAGACAGGGTTTCACCATGTTAACCAGGCTGGTCTTGGAACTCCTGGCCTCAAGTGATCTGCCTGCCTTGGCTGGGATTACAGATGCAAGCCACCATGCCCAACATCTCTTTTTGGAAACCAGGCTGGGATTCTGTCTCTTTCTTGCCCAGACTGGAGTGCAGGGTCATGATCATGACTCATTGCAGCCTTTACCACCTGGGGTTCAAGAAATCCTCCCATCTCATCCTCCCAAGTAGCTGGGACCACAGGCACATGCCACCACACCCAGCTAATTCTTGGTAGAGATGAGGTTTTCCATGTTGCCCAGGATGGTCTCAAACTCTGGGGGTCAAGCAATCCACCCAGCCTCCCAAAGTGCTCGGATCACAGATGTGAGCCAAGATACCCAACACCCACACGATCTTTGAAAGCATGCCCCACTTCAGCCTTTTGCATGCAAGCACATTCCTGCACTGCAGTGAATCTGTGACTTTCTATGGATGCATACCTATTTACAACCAGTGAAAGGCTGAGTACCTAAAAAGTTGTGTACTGCCTCAGAATATACTTGACAATTGTGCAAATAATAATAGTCTACTCTTGACTGGACGGGGTGGCTCATGCCTGCAATCCCAGTACTTTGGGAGGCTGAGGAGGGCACACCTCCTGAGGTCAAGTTTGAGACCAGCCTGACCAACATGGAAAAACCCATTTCTACTAAAAACACAAAATTAGCTGGGAATGGAGGCGCATGCCTGTAATCCCAGCTACTCGGGAGGCTGAAGCAGGAGAATCATTTGAACCTAGGAGGCAGAGGTTGTCGTGAGCCAAGATTGCACCATTGAACTCCAGCCTGGGCAACAACAAGAGTGAAATTCTGCCCAAAAAAAAAAAGTCTACTCTCCCAAGTTTCCTTAGAGTTGTCATACATAAGCAAATCTGGATGGACTGAGGAGTAACGTGGAAGAGGGGAAAGCTTATGGAAGAAAAATCATGTTCTTGCCTCCTGTGGGTAGGTTTCAATTCAGTAGCTGTATAAATGACTCCATGTTAATTTCCCTTCCCATATGCATGCTCATCCAGTGACTTATAAGCTTAGACCAACAGGCTCAGCATGAGGGCCAAGAAACTTGTGTTTCTCCTAAATTCAGCAGCTGATTGTCATGCATCAAGGCTTTCACTGGGCCACTTTGGGAATGAAGACAAAGGAGTGTGATGGAGTCCATGTGATGATTGAGTAGATGAGGAAAAGGGTCACATCAGAGACCTCGAGTCAGACTCACGTGATACAGAAAGCCAACAGTATGTATACTCAGAAGCAAAGCAATGCTATACTTTATTATTATTTTTTTCTGAGACAGTCTCACACTGTCACCCAGGCTGGAGCACAGCAGTGTGATCATGGCTCACAGCAGCCTTGACTTCCTGTGCTCACTTGATCTTTCCACCTCTGCCTCCTAAGTAGCTGGGAGCACAGGTACATGCCACCATTTCTTTTTCTTTTGTAGAAGTGGGATTTCACATGTTCTCCAGGCTGGTCTCAAACTCCTAGGCTCAAATAACACTCCCACCTTGGCTTCCCAAAGTGCTGAACGACCACAGAGAAGTATTCTATATTTCTTCTATTATGTAAGCAAACACATAGAAGGACAATTTAAAAATAGATTACTATACCCAAGAATACATATCAGAAGTACCTGTGGAGGTTTTTAAAACATCTTTAAGTCTAGGCCTGACACTTGGAGAAGGCCGCCAATGGGGTCAGGACCTGAGTATTTCTAATAAGCTGTGAGGGCAGCTCTGAGGTTCTCTTCTGTTGAATAACTGATTTAGGTTGACTGGGGTACTTTGGTTTTTTTGAGCCATTTTTGGGGGGCATGGGAAGCTTTTCTTGCAGATTTACTAGGAGTGGTGAAGAACTTGGCCTCTGGCTTTTTAGGAGTCTGTCTCACATCTTTTTGTCCCCGCGAAGGATTATTTTCCTTCACTGCCTCTTCTTTGATTTTTGGCTTCTTCCATGGGCCTTTCCCTGGGGTCTCAGACTCTGCAGCTTTTGGGGTCTCAGATGCTGGCAAGGCCTTTCTTTTCTTCCCACGAGGTGTGCTGGGAATAGGACTCTTTGTTGGAGACTTCTTTCCTGTGGCATGTTTTTGAATCTCGACATTCTCCTTAGCTGGAGTCTTTCCTATTGGTACCAGCTGTGGAATTTCATCTTCGGAGTCATGTGCCACTTGAACCTGGGCTTTTCCTTGCCAAGCCTTTTATTCCCATGCTCTGGGGTCTGCTCCTTCTTCGATTCAGGTTTCTTCATTGTAGCGTCACCACTTTCAGGTGCCACAGCGTCTTTACTAAGGACTGATGCAGGCTTGCTAGCCTGCTGATTCTTCTTTCTGATTTTGTTCCTCTCCTTTTGTTTTTCAAGATTTCTTTCTCTTCATTTTTTCCTTGCCTCTTTTTTCTTCTTATTAAGCCTAGATTTTTTGGTGGCTTCATCCCAATTGCTGACAATGAGGAAAAGAAGGGAAGAGCAGCCGATTTCTCAGTTTTCACAAACAGGAGTTCATGCTCTCCCACTTCTCCGGCAATTTTTCGGAAGTCCTTTGGTGACAGCAACAATGTTTTCAATGATGTGCTCAATCTGCATTCCAATGTGACCATGTGCATAGCACTGCAAGAACCACTTTTAGAAATGTTTAAGACTGTTCCACCTATACAGTCATTGATCTCTCTTGATAAATTCTTGGACAGAAGGTTTGCAGATACTGGCTCTTTCTTTGTTTGATTGAAATGTTTCCCAGTGAGTGAGGGTAAGAACCACCTAATTCTGGCATCAGTAAGGAGGAAGTCAAAAGTGCTCAGAAGGCGGAGCTTGGCTTCAAAGGGTTTATATTCCTCTTTAGAGTTTGGAAGGGGATAATCTGAGAAATGGTTTTAATTCCATGCTTGTTTAAAAGCTTTCTATAGAACTGTTCTGTCTTTTCAGGAGTTGAATTGGGTTCTTCCTTTGTAAATAAACAGATATCTTCTAAATCCGATCGAATACCATGAGGTAAGGGCAATCTGACCCTCAGTTCTTTACTTGGAATTTTCATTCTCATTCAAAAGCAACCCATAATCGTTCTTCCTGGACTTGCAATGTGTCAAGAAAACGTCCAGTGCCTTTCTAACCTGCTCTTTGTCCAGCTGCTTCAGTGCTATCGGGGCTGCTGGAGTCGAGGTGGAGGTTGCAGTTGTGGCTGACGATGACAGTGGCGTGGAGGCCGAGTCCTCCATTTTGCTTTCACCTCGTGAAGGTGCATGTGCGGAATCCCACTACTTACTTCTGAGGTGCACGCGCGAGCCAAATTTTTTTTTTTTTAGTTTAAAAAATAGAGATGGCTGTTAAATTGTCTTCCTTCTGCAGAAGTTTTTGACAAGCTTAAAAAAAAAATCTGACAATTTCTAAACTGAAATACAACACGAGGATTTTTCCTCCTTCACTTACTAAAATGCTAAAAGCAAATTTAACTTGATGATTTCAACTACTTAACAATTTTATCTTCTGCAAATCAACCAGATGATTTCTAAGGTCTTCACAGATGATATCTGCTTTGTTTGGAGGTTTTATCTATGCTTCTATGCCTGGTTCAAATATCACTTCCTCCAGGAAGCCTTTTTGGATGCCACCCCTTCCCTCCGCTGCCCCCTGCTCCAGTATAGCCTCTCTCTGTTGTGTGTCCACAGCACAGATCCCTGTTATGGTTACAGCCAGCCAAAAGGCCTGGGCTGCTAAGTGCTGGCAATTGTTTACAAATCCTTCCCTCTCTCTCCATATGTCAAAGGAGCATCCTTTATTTAATGGGGACAGGGATGCAAATGGAATAAGTCAGAGGGTTAAATGACTCAAGTGAGAAAAAGAGATGGGCAAGAGAGGGAGGACAAGGCTGTGAGGGACAAGTGGGAGCAAGAGAGGGTGGTACTAGGAGTGTCCAACAGAAGAGGCCAGGAGCTGTTACAGCTGCCATGGGGCCAGAGCTGTGAAGGAAGATTTTAAGAGGACTTTTGGGATTTCTCCTGTGTGCTATGCAATGTAATACCCTCCTGTTCTTCCCACAAAGCTTCACCAAAACTTACATCGCTGCTCTGGCATTTTTGGATGCTATGCTAGGTAAGAGACTGGGCTGGGTGACAATGTGACATGTGAGAGATGTGCTATCTGCTTCTCCTGGTAGCTGATGAGTTCCTCGAGGGCAGGAACCACGTTACTTTCCCTTGGTACTTGCTCTTAGCAACTTAGGACATGGCAGGCACTTTGCAGAATAGATGAATGAATGAATGAACGAATGAATGGCAAGGAGAAAAGGAGGGCAAGAGAGACAGGGTCTCTAGCTCTGGGAACTCACAACCCAGCCATGAACAGAGGACCCCAGGCAGATCAATTGGCAGTGGGGATTACAATGAAGGATGGCCTCAGCCTACAGAACTGACAGAGCTTCCTGACTGAATGCACATCAGGGAAGGAGGATCTGGTGATAGTGCCAAGGTTTCTAACCTGAGTGCCTGGGAGAATGGTGTACCATTACTAAGATCCAGAAAAAGCAGTCTCAGGGAAATGGCGGACCAGGGTGGTGAGGAGATAATGAGCTGAGTTCGGCTGATTTGGAATTTGAGATGCTAGGTGGATATGTATGCTAGACAAAGGGGAGAGGAAATGATGAATTTTTTCAGCCAAATAATAATAAAGACTCTTTGACATCAGGAAGGCAAGTGCTGGGAGGACTGGCAGGAAGGCTGGATTCATGGTGACCCACCCACACTGTGGCCTGGGCCCAAGGGCAGCCTACAGCACCAGGGGCCAAAGTGGTCAAATGGGTTTTGGGAGAGAAGCTATAACCATTGAGCAGACAGTCCACTCATAAGAACAAGCAGCAAATAACGCAGCACAGTAGGTAGAATCCAGCTGCCTCAGACAAACTCAGGAACAGAAAGCTTACATGCCTGTTCCTAGCTTTCTGGGGCCTAGGAAGGGAAAGAACTCAGCCAGAGCCATTTCCTCCACCTTCTCACTCCTCAGGGTCCTCACCTGCTTGTGCAGCCAGCCCCTCACCACCACAGGAACGTTGGGGTTCCTCCGAATGGCCTGGTCTCTCTTCCCGAAGCTGTGGACTTTATTGCTGGACTTTATGATCTACAAAAAAGCAGATTGAACTCCAGCAGCAGGAAATTGAAGGTGGCACAAAAAAGCACTTGTATGTTAGGAGGACTGTCAGCTCTCTCTGCCTCACTCTAAACGGTAGCACCCTTTGATCAAAAGAACAGCCAGGAGACAGGGAACAGGTGTGCACATGGCCACAGCATTCTAATTAAAAGGCAAGCCCAAGACCTGGCAAACCTCCCAGCTGGGTCACAGAAAAAAAAAAGGAAAATTTTCAGTCAACTTTCAACAGCAGCTGTTGGCTCTAATATGTTCCATGGCTTTCTGGAGCAAAGCTAATTTTCCGTCACAGCTTTTTGCCAATTTCCAGATATTTACCCCTCCTATCTGGGTTCACCCTTAGCACTCTCCTCCTCTCTGCAATGCTGGTTCTTTTCCCTGATCCTAGTGTTTTCTACACCTGCAGCACAAAAACTTCTGGGCACCCTTTCTCAGGGCCTCCTGTCTCCAAATCTCTCCAAGCTCTCTTTAACACACAGTTACATGTAAACAGAAACACGGCCCTCCCAACCATGCAAGGAAAGTGAAGAACATGCTCCAGGAACTAGACATGGGTGCTGGGTCTGGCAGCAATCACCTGCTTTGTTGCACAAGGGACATATCCCTCTTGGCCGCAATTTCCTGATCTGTCATTTGGGGAGAACATTTCTTATGGGTCTCTGTCACAAAATTATAGTGAAGATTAAATGGACTTCTGGTTACAAAGGGGCTTGGCAAAATATAAAAGAGGGGAAGGAAGGAACCAGTGGCCAGGAGCTCACCTTGGGTCCAGGCTTGGCCTCCAGGGTGGAGGTGGTCCCAGCCGTGGATGTTTCACTGACCATGCTGGACGGTCTTTGGTTTCTGTCCTGCTTCGACATACGTGGATTCGGCCTGGGGGGAGATAGGGGATTCCAATGAGTAAGAGCTGAGCTGCAGAGTAGGAAGCGCAGTAAGAATAGTTCCAGATAGGAATTGGTTGCTGGGCCTTAGAACAAACCAGCCCTGATGGTTTGGAGGCTGCCTGACTTCAGACTGCAGCCAGAGGGCCGTGATGGCCAGTCTGCCCGTGTGCTTCAGGGAATTAAGAGGATGACAGATGGGCACATCTCCACAGCCTGACACCCCAAAAAAGGAGCACAGACTGTCATCCCTGCTGATGTCTGGAAGTCCCCACACTCACTCTTAATCAGGTGTCTGTGACGACTGCCCCATCTGATGGGCACGCACAGATGCGCCACTCTTCTCAGCATGCAAGAGCAATCCATGCCCTCACACACACCTCCATTTCCCTGCCTCCCAAAAGCAGCTGTTTATAATTAGTAACAAGAAATCACTTGCGCACACAACCACACCCCCAGATATACACAGAGAATCCCTTGCATAAATGCCAGTGGGGCTTGTCTCCCAAAATAGACTACTCAACAAAGAGTCCTATTCTGGGAACACTCCATTTGCCCCAAAATAGAGCTATCAGAGATATTAACCCCTTATGCCAAGCCAGGAGAGCAGGAAAACATGAAGTAAGCCTTAGGCTCCAGTAAGAATCTCTGGGGCTTCCCCATCAGCATCCCAGAAACATGAAGCTCCCACCGAGAAGCTGCCCTGGGAGGGCCAGCTCTCTGGGAGCATCTCAGTGCAATACTCAAGAGCCACTGAAAAGTCCTTCTCACCTGCCTCCACAGAGCTCCAGCATTTGCCAGTCTTTTAAGGCAGCATGGACAAATGCCTTCACACAAATCCAGTATCTATCTCTGAACAGCTGGATGCCTGATGCCAAGACCCTGATAAGTCCTTCCTCAAAGTGGAAGTTTCCAAGTTCTGTCCACTGCTCCAATAGGCAACAGGATCCAGGTCACTGGAGACCAGGCAGACCACAGAGGCTTCTTGCCTGAAGAGTGAAGAAAATCTGCTTTGGAGGCCTGGGCAAGAACCCTAAGGAGATGGAGCTGGAGGATCCGGGCAGGATGCAGCTGACAAAGCAGGACACTGAAAATCCTTCACACGGTCACTTTTAGAGCAATGCAATGAGAGAACATCCTAGTTTCCACCTGGAAAATATGCTGTTTTCTTCTAAGACCCTGCGGCTCAAAAGATAAGCAATCCTTCCTGTGCCCTGAGACAGAGCCCAATATCCAACACCACAAGGGAAGTTCTCTGCAGAAGTATCCGTGACTACTGCACTTTCCAAGCAATGTCAGCAGCAGGACCACCGTAGCAGGCACCAGCTTCCCAAAGGGCTGGGCCCTGTGGGATGCTTGGCAGCTGGAGATGCAAGTCCTACTAGGCAGAAAGAGCACTGGCTCCTTATCAGCTCAGACACTCACTCCAGATTCCCCGCCCCCGGCCTCCAACCCAGCCAGACTTTTGTTGTTGCTCCCCACTCGGAGGGAGAAATGTCACCATACTTGCTGCTGGCAGAGGCTGTATGCAGCAAGATACTCACTGATCAGGGGCAGAAAGGGGCTCCCAGAGGCTGCCTTATCCACCCTCTTTCTCCAGACAGAACTATGTCCAAAACATCCTGGAACCTGGTCTTGCCTGACTCTTCAGACTTCCGGAGGTTGAGATAAGGAAAAAGAACTCAGGTTGCTTCAGTTATGGCAGCTGTTATCTCTAAGCTGAAATTCAGGACACAGGGTCCCAAAATAAAAAAGGTTTGTTTAGGTTTTTTCTTCCCTTTTGTTTTGAGATGGAGTTTCACTCTGTTGCCCAGGCTGGAGTGCAGTGGTGCAATCTCGGCTCACTGCAACCTTCTTCTCTGGGGTTCAGGTGATTCTCCTGCCTCAGCCTCCCTAGTAGCTGGGATTACAGGCACTTGCCACCAAGCGCAGCTAATTTTTATATTTTCAGTAGAGATGGGATTTCATCGTGTTGGCTAGGCTGGTCTTGAACTCCTAACCTCTGGTGATCCACCTGCCTTGGACTCCCAAAGTGCTAGGATTACAGGCATGAGCCACCATGCCCAGCCAGCTTGGGATTTTATCAAATGTAATTTGTTCCCACTTAAGACATTATAGGTTTATTACAGAGTATTTGAGAAATATAAGAAAAAGCTGAAAAGAGAGAAAAACATCACCTATAGTCCAGTTCTGAAAGGAAAACCATTTGTAATGCTTGGTATAGTTACTTCCATTCTTTTCATATGCCTGGTTTTTTTGCAGGGGGTGGGGGTAGGAAGAAAGAGGGTGCTTTTTTGTTTACATATAATCAAAATTATATATATGATTTCACATCTTCATTTTAAAAACTTATTGTAATGTAAACACTTTCTCCATTAGTTTGTTAGTTCACATCATTTCAAGTAACTGCATCACATTCTATCAAATAGATATGCCATTCCACCTCTGTAAACAAAGAAAAGACCATCTGAACATGTGACTGGCCAGGAAATCCAGGACAAATAGCTATGTTTGCCATTTTTGCACCTTACAATCTTTTTTTTTTTTTTTTTTGAGATGGAGTCTCACTTTGTTACAGGCTGGAATGCAATGGTGTGATCTCGGCTCTTTGCAACCTCTGCCTCCCAGGTTCAAGTAATTCTGCCTCAGTCTCCTGAGTAGCTGAGATTACAGGTGCCTGCCACCACACCTGGCTAATTTTTTTGTATTTTTAGTAGCGATAAGGTTTCACCATGTTGGTCAGGCTGGTCTCAAACTCCTGACCTTTTGATACGTCTGCCTTGGCCTCCCAAAGTACTGATTACAGGTATGAGCCACTGTGCCCGGCCTTTTTTTTTTTGAGACGAAGTTTTGCTCTTGTTACCCAGGCTGGAGTGCAATGGCATGAACTCGGCTCACTGCAACCTCCACCTTCTGGGTTCAAGCAATTCCCCTGCCTCAGCATCCTGAGTAGCTGGGATTATAGGCACACACCACCACGGCTGGCTAATTTTTTGTATTTTTAGTAGAGACAGGGTTTCACCATGTTGGTAAGCTGGTCTCGAACTCCTGACCTTGCGATACTTTTGCCTCAGCCTCCCAAAGTGCTGGGATTACAGGCATGAGCCACCCTGTCAGGCCTTTTTGTGTGTGTGTGACAAAGTTTTGCTCTTATTGCCCAGGCTGGAGTGCAATGGCGCAATCTCGGCTCCTGCAACCTCTACCTTCCGGGTTCAAGCGATTCTCCTGCCTCAGCCTCCCAAGTAGTTGGGATTATGAGCACACACCACCACACCCAGATAATTTAGTATTTTTAGTAGAGAGAGAGTTTCACCATGTTGGTCAATTCATACTTGGCAGGCCCTGACCTCGCTCTTTGAAAGGATAAAGCACACATAGCTACTCAGATAATTTTGAGTTTTTAGTAGAGAGGGAGTTTCACCATGTTGGTCAGGCTGGTCTCGAACTCCTGTTTCAAGTGATCCACCTTCCTTGGCCTCCCAAAGTGCTGAGATTACAGGCGTGAGCTACCACACCCAGTCTAAAAATATGCTTTTAAATCATCTCACCAGTGCAGTATAAAGCATCTTACAATCTTGACATCTAACTTTAATCACCCCCCAAACCCGCACATTCTAGCCCCACATCTCCTCCCCAACCTAGTTTCTGGAATGCCAGCTGGTTGGGGGGCTACTCCCAGCCAGTAACATGGAAAGAAAGATGACTTCCCTGCAGCCTTGGGTAAATGAGGAAAGAGGGTACAACTCCCACCTAGGAAGCCAGGTATAAACAGATTTTGGCTAGAGAATGACTGATTATGGTCCCAAGACTGGACATCAGGGAGGGACAGTGATGGGCAAGGAGTGGGGAAAGAATAGGAAAACACACATGAAGACAACTCAACTCCTCATTTCTACACAGCTCAGCCACACCCATAGAAGGCTTATTAGGAGACGTGACTAAAGTCCAAACTATATCTGCCCCAGGGAAGGAACTGTATCATCTACAAACAGGGATGATGTCTTCACCAAGGGCCCAGATGAGCAGTGACAGCTCCCAACTCAAGGAATAGATTCAATTCATACTTGGCAGGTCCTGACCTTGCTCTTTGAAAGAACAAGGCACACACAAGCTACTCACTTGTCCAAGTAACAAGATCAGCCTTCAGAGGACGCTCCTTTGAAGCTCTCAATGTGGGTCATGATCTCTTAGGTTTTCTAAGGATGACCACGACTTTTAGAAATAACTATAAGTTATCTGGAATTACAACTAGTTAAAAAAAAACGGTGGTCATGCTTGGGGATACCATTTGGTATCCAAAAGTGGGGATATGAAAAAAGTCTCAAAATCAATTTTCTCACTTGGCTAAAAAACTGGCACTGATGGAAACTTCCAGTGGTGGTTTACCACAATGGGCAATGAGCAATGGGACATCAACAATGCATGTGTATAGCCTCCTGAAGAAACACCGAAAGGAACATCCCTCACTTGGATGTGGGCATTCTGGTATCATTTGCTTCAGCCAGTTACTGTTTCCCATTAAGAGCCTGGTGCGGCAGACACTGATTTGTCCTCAACTCCTCAGAATGAGTGTACTCCACTGAGGAGTCTTATCTAAGAATCACCTCCACTTCCCAGAGAAGAGCTTGTGCCCCTGAGCTGAGCAACCTTGAAAGGCACTCAGTTCCCAGCAGCATGCCCTCGGGCACACTGAGTCACACAGACCCCTGGGAGAGGAGACCCAAAATCCTGCACACGCAGACTGCTGATGTCGTCAAATAAAACCTATTAATTTAAAAGCCTGTTTGCCAGGTTTCTGTGTTATCTGAAATCCCAAGTACAGTGGGATGATTTGAACAAAGACTTCCCTCTCCCTGGCTTGGGCTACATGAATGCTGATTATTTTGCTGGAGGGATGTGGGCTGAAGATGAAAACAGTGAGCTAGAGTTTGAACGCAACCTCCTACCATCTGAAACGAACAAAAGAAGTTAGGCCTAGACAAAATCAGTCTG